AATATATATATATAATATACAAATGTGGCGAAAGATAATCGATGACTATAGGTTGTAATATCTAAATGATTTGTTTGAAATTAAATTGATTTTTTACGGTCTAAGTTGTATGTTGCAATTTTCTCAATTTTTATGGCCGCTAAGTTATTCGGTATGAGACGTCTTTAACAATTTTCTCCTTATAGACGCAACAAATAGAAGTAAGATTAGTAGCGATCAAAAGCGCTTTTTTATCGCATTAAGCCTATACCCCCTTTCATTTTTCGCGAACACTCCCTTTAAGTCATAGTTCTATTGATAAATATTTATTTATATCGATAAGATAAACATACCGATGTAAAACCTTTTAGAAAGTAGGAAAAATTCTGCATAAATAAGTTGCCAAACCAAACAGAATTTTAATTTTGAACAAAAATATATATTGTACTCATAAAGAAGCATTTCTGGGTATATCTTTACTCTAGTTTTGCCGTATCTTCATTTATGTAAAACATTAAAAAAAAAAGATTTTGTTGATGGTTTGAAACTAATAGTTGATGATTCATTGAAGGGAGGGATGGCAAAAACCCCCCCTTGATTAGGCCTCTGCTTTAAACCTATTACTGATCAAATATGAATAAGAGATCAATGATTTTTTAGTTTAGTTTAGTTTAGTTTAGGCTGAAACCTGAGAATCTCAGGAGCTGATTAATGCCTATAAGAGTTCTATATGATGTTCCTGTTCCTGTCTCGAGATATTGATATAAAACTTTGTCAAAATTATACCAAAACGTATATATGTAAGATTTTGTATAAGATTCGTAATATTAAACAGATCATATTCAACAAATACGCAGCTAATCTGTAAACGACTATATCCCAGAGGAGCCAGAAAAACTCATGTGTGTTACTGTTATTATTTGAATTTAATAATTTTTGAATTTTAATGCATTGTGGAAGACGATGCCTGGCCGCGTTAAACAAGTTCCACAAGATTCAACAGAATGAGATAGAACGGATACGGGGCATAGTACTGAAAAACATCTACACGTGTGATCTCGAGATAAACTCTTAGTCTGAACCCTCTAGTAATAAGTTATAAGAAATATATATACTGGAAGTACTTTATGCGTTTTTTATTAGAGTCTGACCCACGTCCTCTATAGCATATAATTAATAATCTTATTTTTACGTCCGGAACATGTCACCAGAACTCCAACCAATGACAGCGCAAAATTATTGTCACGTTCCTCTGTCTGTATCACGTGACCAGTGTCCAGTATAGTGCACTGTCATTGGAGGGAGTTCTGGTAACATGATATGGAAACGTATATCTTTACATTTATATGTTTTGGTATAATTTTGACACAATTTCTCAAGACAGGAACATCAAATAGATGTTTTATTGGCATCGTTCAACTCCTGAAATTCTCAGGTTTCTGCTTATACCCCTTTTCATTTTCATTTACAGTCCCTTTAAAGTAAACAAACACCTAATTCAAAACAATCAGCAATGGTTATTGTTTATAATCGACATGTCTAAATAAAACTGTGAAAATTGTACCTACCTGAAATTCATATTGTTAAAGTACGTGTGGTAAAATATGTATAAATTAGAGATGATCAATATTTTACTTTATTTTCAATTGACCCCCCTATATCTTAGATGTCTCATATGCTCAAAAAATCAAGAGTTTTTGCCATATTATTGTTGTTACGCAAAAACTAGTTCTCCAGCAGCCCAAATACGTCACAGCAAAGTGTATACGGAAACCCTATTGCCCCCTCCTTGTATTCAATTCTCCAATTGAGTATATCTATCTTTCTGTCTAATTATCTGTCTATCTTTGATAACAAAAGTGAGAGGCACAAATTCCGTGTGAATCTTGAATTAATTAGAAATCAATAAACATTTATTTGGTATAAAAAGATGATATACAATTAACATGAAGGATTAATACATTCATACATATTGTCATGAAACAATAACAATTATTTTGGCAATTTTTTTTCAGATGTTACAAATGCATAATATTATTCAGTTAGTAATACGTAACAAGATAAAATTAGAATAATTAGGGAAGGATGAAATTGATATTTTTAATGAATAAATGTTTCAGAGCCCTCGATTTAAAAGCTTCGGCTCAGGTCGTGATTCATAAAGCTCAGCTTAAAAACCCAATCTAAGACCCAACTCTAACCATAGCTTTTATCACGTGGTTGACAGCTTCGAGATCTTAGGCTTGACTTAAGGAGTTAGGACCAATGAAAATAGAGGAGATTAAGGCTCAATGTTGAGTATTGCTCTCATCAAAACCCGAAATGCGCCAATTCCAACCACGAAAATCCGCCAAATACAATATTAAACCGGTTTTATGAAGGAAATATTAATTTTAAATTGAGTTTTAATATATCTAGATATTTTATCCCAAAATACAGATAATCAAAAGTGTCTTAATTTCGTTTCAAAGTCCTAGAGACTAGAAAATTCATGACTTTGAAATCGTACAATCTTTTTTCCTTTAAATATTGTAAACTTTAATTAAATTTTGAAAAATTTACTTTGATTGACGTGGGTCACTCCCTGTAAACATTAATTTATCATGTGTTCTGTTCTTTTTAGGGAAATGTACAATTAGCAATTAATTTTCTAAAGAGGGCTGGGCTTCCCACAAAGGATGAGACTTCAGAGACAACTGTACGGAATTTACACGGTCTGTCTCCTTATCTTCATGATTCTCTGCAACTATAAACTTCTGTCTTTCCTTGCCAAATCTTAAAATCAACCATTTAAAGGACTTTATTCAATTTGGGATCGTCATATTTGAAAAGTTTCAAGTCGTCTTCACTGTCTCATTCTTTGAGGGTAACCCTGTATATCAAGATAAAGCTGTATAATATGCATCATAAAAAATAGATAAATATTTTATTAGTTTTCTATAAAAAGAATACTTCGAATAAGATTTTATCGTCTAAAACTAAATATTTATTGAATTAGTTAGTTCGAAGAAATATTTTTACAAAAAAGAAATTAAAGAAAATCTGTTAATAAATTATTAAAAATTTTAAGATCAATCGCTAGGGTTTATTGGCATGATTGGGGGGCAGGAACGTATGTAACACAGATTTATCCATATCAAATTTTCCAACAAAAATCAAAATAATTGGGTATTGATTACCATGAAACATCCAATTAAATCTAAAAATATATGTTTTTATCCTTTAACAAATTACTAAAATTTAATCTTTAAATTTTTCCTCGACGCACAAAAAACCAAACTTGGGTTTATTTAATATATTTTATGATTTCATTATAAAATCAAATTGGTAATTTGTTATTACGTTAATATAAAAGTTGTTCTTGATCATTTATGAAAGTATGAAAAAAAAACAATGTATAATTTTCTCTTAAACTTTTTTTTTTAAGAACCCTATATTTATTTAAAGAGGCAAATACAATAAAAGGACAGGAATGGGCAATTGCCAAATTCGTTTTATAGAAACTTATACTTTTTTTAGACTTTTAAAAGGTATTACGACAATATGAGAAGGTTCCATTATTTTAAAACTTTAGTATGTAGAATGTTGCTTTATCATCAAACATGGAAATTTGTTACCCTAGGCTAAAAGAAAATATAAGGCAAAACGCTCGTTTTAAAACGTTAGTTTTTGGTTATTTTTTGCCTTATATTTTCACGCTAACTGTTTTTTTGTTGCTATAAAAGAGTTTCATTCCGAAAAGGTATTCATTAATATTAGGTTCAGCAAGAGATTTTTAATGCTAGTCATTCATAAATATAAAGATAACAATAATAAGTATAAACATTGTAAAGATCTAACATCGATAATATGTTTGTTTATCAAGAATAAAATGTTCTAAAAAAACTCTAATTTTCTAATACTTTTTTGCAATCTGATGTTGTATATCTTTTATATCTTTTAAACTTAGGCTCTATAATCTATCAGGTTTCAAAGATATTAGAAAAATGAGTTTTTTGCAAGTGTCCAGTTCCTTTGGGCCATTGTTCTGTTTCAGTGTAAGGTTTCCACGAAATGACCATGTTTTTTGGCGCAAATTATTTTTTTGTAAACTTTTGCGCACCTTTTCTGCATGGAGCGCAATTACAAACAAACAAAATTATGATGATGCTACTCTGAATTGGTTACTTTTAATCCAAAAATAAACATCCTATTGAGGGGGAAAATTAATTAAATAGAAATTAGAAAATTGAAAACTGATGCAAAGTTTGAATGTCTGAATCTTTGTGTGGTGTTAACTTTGATATTTTAAATGTTGACTACTTCTAGTCGAATGCACATGATTGAAATATTAAAGAGTTTTACTCATTGACATANAGGACATCCCCCTCTACAAATGGAGGGCCCCTTGAAATCAAGTCTACAGTTTCTTTAACTTGATGACCATTGCTAATTCCTTAGTTTAACATCTGAAAATAAATCCAAGAAATGAAAATTTTAAAGGGAGTGTTTGCGAAAATGAAAGGGGGTATAGGCTAACGGCGAAAAATAAGGGTTTTTGATCGCAACTAATCTTACTTTAATCTGTTGCGTCTATAAGGAGAAAATTGTTAAAAACGACTCATACCGAAAAACGTAGTGTCCAGCCAAATTCAGAAAGTTACAATATTCAACTGGTATATAGTTGATACATCATAATTTTTTTTATTTGTTTATATAGACAACGCACTTGATACGAGATTTCTTGTTCCCTATGTGTCTCTGCCACGTGGAACCATGCAGAAACATCGAGAGTTAAGACACCTAATGGCCAACACTAATCGTTGCATAATAAGATTAGTGGTAATCAACATCGAATATTTTTCAACGTAAGCCTATACCCCCTTTCATTTTTCACTAACACTACCTTTAACAATCAATTTATAAATCAATAAATCAATTCACCCGTTTACGAAGTCAACATTGATCAAGCAAAAGATCAATTTATAAAGCCATATAAGATAGTAATCAATTAACAGATAAATGCGTTTATAATTAATCAATCATTTCATCAATTTATAANAGCTTGGCGAGGGGGGTGGGGAAGATGAGGAGGGGCCTGGTTTATCCTCCTGCAACTCTGGGTCTGGTTTGAATTCAGGAAGGTTTAGGATTGGAGAGTTTAACTCCGGGTCCGGGATTGATATGATCACTAGAGGAGCAATATGTGGACTCCTAAACATATTTACATATTTATTTACAATGAAACTTACAACACATAAAAAGAAAAAATATCAGTTTTTAGAGGGTAATTTTATTAAATTTCTCGTAAAAAATGAAATTCTTTAAATCGTCATTTTTTGGGGCACTCTATAGCCAATAGATGTGTTAAATTACCTGACAAATGTACGAGTGAAATAAGATTTTTTTTTTCAGGGTCTTTTCGTCAGCCAAGCCAAATCCATTATAGCTTATTTTAACAATTTTCAATTATGTACTAAATCCTTGCCCCAAACTCCCAGTCTACAATTTTTACTAATCCTTTGATCGTTGCAGCCTGATATCAAAGACCTTTGATATATTGAACCATGCATGATTCACGTGGCCAAAGTTAGAATTAACAAAAGTTTACACCACTAGGTTACAAAGATAAAGATGTTAGAATATGAGAAGTTTTTAAGAGTTGACAATGGGTTGCAAAGATATTGAGAATTCAAAAATCAAAGTTTAAAGCAAAAATTCAGTTCCTATTTTTCATTTTAAAAAAAATAAAAATATGATTTGTGAGATGATATTATTTCACCTGTATTTAGATTTGGTTCCAAAATCTATGAAATAATTAGAAAAATGTTCATTGTGCCAGGATCGTCGTCTCACACTTCTATAATTATATATATTACTAACTGAAGAGCCCGTGAAAAAAAAAAATAAAAAATTTAAGTTAAAATTTGAATCTTTTTTAGCCCATGTCACCCCCAGGCTTCACATGAGTGTCAACAAAAAATTTCACCCCGTTTAGTCCAGGCGTTTGGCCGGGCAGAGAAGACATATAAGCATATGTCTTGTTTTATTATATAAGTAGTAATCTCTATTTGTTTGTTCGATCACAACGCAATACCCTGGACTTGATTGCCTCAAATTTGCATTGGGGAACTTGGAAAAAACACGAATCACAGGAATTTTCCTAGTTTGGTTTGAAATTCTTTATTTAGTCGGTTGAAAACTCCGGGAATAGCTGGGTTCCCACACTAGTATGTATAAAGAGGAAATCTCTGTTTGTTTGTCTGTTTGTATGTCCAATCATGACTATGGAACCTCTTTGTCAATTTGCCTCAAATTTGGAAACTCTCTTAGCTTGGCACTCCTGTTTGCCGAGTCCATTAGTGCCTGATCTAATCAGGGTTTGTCATGTGTTTGTTGTCTATTCTGAACCAATAGAAATAGTATGGAGGTAACATCTATCTTTCTATCTGTCTCATTATCCAATCAGAGATAAATCCTTCAATCGGCACTGTAACAGTAAATGCAAATGCTTAGTTTAAAAGTTATAAATTAAGTATGCTGACTTTTATCAGAAAAAAAGTTAGTTTCCGAGCAAAGCTGGATATTGAAGCTGGTTGATATCTATCCATACATCATGGGCCGGGCCGGCGAAATTTCAGTCACCAAAATATTTGTAAAAAGTGTAGAAAGTAAATGTCATATTTGTGGCGTCAAATTAAACGATGTATTTTGAAAAAATGCAGTTTTAGTATTTTCAAAGCAAAAAAAGTATGTGCAGGCACTTCTCCACAGTTTTTAAACTGTCAAAAATGCCTCTATCAAATGCCAATCTATAACTATCATTAATTTTCTAAACTTTGTTTTCTTCTTTTTCAAGTTTCTCCCCTAGGGGGGGGGGGGCATTCAACATTTAGCTGGAAGCACTTTTATACACCCCCTGCCCCCCCTTGTCGACTAACTTAAAATAAGTGAATTTGAGGGGGGAAAGTGGTATTTTCCCATATTTTCCGAATCACGGATGTCAAAATGGAGGATTATGACCTCCGATCTCAAATTTTCGTGATCCATGTAGACGACCAAAATTAGAGGCTGCATGCAAAATTTCAGCCTTCTATCTCAATTTTTAGGACCAAACGCAGCCTGTACAAAATTTGGTGTCACAAAGTGTCAAAGTGCACCCCCCTTACTTTTTAGTTTTTACTCATGAAGAAAAAAGGATCTGTAAAGAATTATATGATATTGTTATAAAAAAAATCTGTAAAGAATGATATGATATTGTTAAAAAAATACTAAAAAACGCATCTAACAATCTTACATAATGAAGGAGTTTGCGTCTTTTCCGCAAATCAAAATTTTCTAAGCCCTATATCTTTACAATCTGATTGTGTAAACATTTGATAATTTAAACTTGGATTATCTCCTTTACGGAATACATAGTTTGAAATATCTAAGGTCAATTACATTTGGTTGTAAAGATATAGGGATGAGAAAATAAGCACTGCATAAATCTCCAATTATCAGGGTTGTATGACGGAAAAGTGTTTAATTCTGACAAAGCACTCCACCGAAAAATGAAAAGGAATTGCATCATCATTTTTGCATAGATGATGGTTTAAAGGTACAGTTGAGGATCGGAATTACCACTTTTTAATGGAGGGTTACTTGAAATTATGTCTATAGTACATCTACAGGCTTAATAAATCTAAACCTAACATGAAAATTAAACGTATACCGGGCACTAAACTTTTCCTGCTTTATATATTTATATATATATTTCCTATACATTTTTNCAGATAATAAGAAGGAGAGACAAGGAAAACTAGGTGAAATAATGATGTTAGAGACAGGGTTTATCAGATAATAAGAAGGAGAGACAAGGAAAACTAGGTGAAATAATGATGTTAGAGACAGGGTTTATCAGATAATAAGAAGGAGAGACAAGGAAAACTAGGTGAAATAATGATGTTAGAGACAGGGTTTATCAGATAATAAGAAGGAGAGACAAGGAAAACTAGGTGAAATAATGATGTTAGAGACAGGGTTTATCAGATAATAAGAAGGAGAGACAAGGAAAACTAGGTGAAATAATGATGTTAGAGACAGGGTTTATCAGATAATAAGAAGGAGAGACAAGGAAAACTAGGTGAAATAATGATGTTAGAGACAGGGTTTATCAGATAATAAGAAGGAGAGACAAGGAAAACTAGGTGAAATAATGATGTTAGAGACAGGGTTTATCAGATAATAAGAAGGAGAGACAAGGAAAACTAGGTGAAATAATGATGTTAGAGACAGGGTTTATCAGATAATAAGAAGGAGAGACAAGGAAAACTAGGTGAAATAATGATGTTAGAGACAGGGTTTATCAGATAATAAGAAGGAGAGACAAGGAAAACTAGGTGAAATAATGATGTTAGAGACAGGGTTTATCAGATAATAAGAAGGAGAGACAAGGAAAACTAGGTGAAATAATGATGTTAGAGACAGGGTTTATCAGATAATAAGAAGGAGAGACAAGGAAAACTAGGTGAAATAATGATGTAAGATACAGGGTTTTTTAATATTTTCTACGAAACGGAATCCAAACACAGACATTTTTTCATAACCCCTGTTATATAATTTAACATAGATAGATTATGAAAATCAAATGCATCATGTTTTTCCGGGCTGCCTGTATACCTGCCGGATTCCAGGTCCTTGAGAACCTCTCGGAGCCGGATAGCTCCGACTCCGGAGCCAACTCTTGATCTTGTAGCTCTGGGATTGCTGTCATCGAAGCTCAGTGTCCTAAAATAATCAAAAATTAAATTTGACGTTTCAAATTTTAAAAGCTATATTTGTTGCATAAAACTCTCTGGGTCGATTTTACATCTAATAGTTCAGACTAGACAGTACGGCTGACTACGTTGTTAGTCGTTTAGAGTTTCATTACAGATTTAGAGATAAAAAAGGGATATTTCTTTTGTTTTTATAAACTATCAAAAAGTTCCTTCTCAAACAACAGGTAACAAAATGAAAAAATTCGTGTCAGCATGGATCTAAGAAATAAAGACGACTTTCTTTTTAAATTTTTATTTTCAGCCAAGCCTTTAAACAGAAGAAACACTTCAACATTTATACAAAGAGAAGTTGTCAATTAACAGTAGCTTTGACTGCTTGTAAACTTGCTTTGAATGCAATGTTAACTATTTTAAAACACTGTCATTTTGATTCGCAGTGTTATACAGTTTTTAGACAAAAATTTACTCTTTATCGAGAAGGTTAAAATCTTTTTAGATTTAATTTTGTCCCGAGCTTTTTCTACCAATAAAAAATGATACAGTAACAAACTCAAAGCAACATTCAAACGAGAAAAAAAAATTGAAAATATTTTAAGTCATTCAAAAATTAACAATTTTGTACGTTTCCGAAATATAAAACATTCAAGCCATTTAATTCTAAAACAATTTTTGTTATTGATATTTTTTGAACTTGTGCATTTTTATCAAAAAGGTGCTTCATAATTTTATTGTAATTTGAACCAAAACTAACACTAGTTTTCTGCCCAGAGACTTCCCCAAGCCCTGAGGGTCAGAATGATCAAATTTAAGTTGTGTCAAAAAAAACATTCAAGTTTTGGTATAAAGCCCGGATTTTTTGAAAATTTTGTGAATTTTATCAACATTTTCTGTGGGCAGTCCTATGCTGAGCCTGTTGAAAAAGAAAGAAAACGTTAGATTTTAAATGTCAAAATTGTGTTCCGATTAATACATTTAAAAATGTGCAGTTGTTATATTTTAGTTTTATACTGGTGCAGGGGGACGAATATATTTGTCTCTAGAGAGAGATCTAAATTTTAAATGAAAATACTGCATTGTATTCTAGAGATGAAGGGATGTGCAGAGAATTTAACTGAATCAGTGGAAAATATCCAAAACCTCGGGCTCTATGTTTCAAATGATAAAGTTGAGTTCCCAATCCCAATTTTTGGTATTACACAAAATGTTCGAAAATTGTGATTGGGAATTGATTCTTTGTCACCTTTATATTCGCAACCCAATATCGTAGACCTTAGATATTTCCAACTGTGAGTTCTGTAGCCTGGCAAGATAACAGTAATAATCTACGTTTGAAATACCAAAGGTTTACTCCATCCTTGCAAAAATATAGAAATAGAACATTTATTTTTTAGCAAAGACTTAAATCCTTTAGACTTAATGCAGTAAAATAGTCAAATTGTATAGGATTTTTCTTAATAAACAATTTGTCCATGTCCTTCTAAACTAAAAAACGGGTTCTCATGATAGAAATCAAGATATGTGTTTGGATATCATTCTTGTTCCAGTATAAGTACACAATATCCGTTTACAAGTTTCAGGATTCATATCAAATAGGATGATGAATTAGATAAATAGATAGATTTATGTTACCGCCATTGCGATTTCTATTGGTTCTGGATTGTCACCAAGCATGTGATTGCATCCTGATTGGATCAGATGCTACCAGAAACAATTTGGTAAACCCTAAACCCAGGATATGTGAATTACCTTGGACTGCAGACCAAACACACAATGGGGCTGTATATATAGTGCTAGAATGGATTTAATTTCATGTTTGTGACATATACATTATTTATCATACAATATTTACAGTTCATACAATATTTATTCTGGGTATTTTCTTACTGCAGATAATTAAATATGTATGAGTGTCTCTGATTCTTTGATAATGTTGGTTTTTTTAATCGTTCAACAAAATTTATTTCTTTTTCATCGTTAAGTTCATTTTCTCAACGAACAATCGTTCAGTTAAAACAATTGTTCAATATAATCGTTCGTTCCAGGGGTGGATACAGGGGGGGCGGTAGGACCTTAGCACCTCCCCCCCCCCAACACGTTTAGGGGGGCGTCCGCGTAGCACCCCCCCCTGAGATTTCAGAATAGCTCCTCAATAGCACTTAAGGGAAAGAAAAACCTTGTGCAAAACAGGAAAAATATCTATCCTAAAAATGTTGTTCCTAAATCTGGATGATTTTGTTCCGAAATAAATCTAGCGCCCCCCTCACTTAAATCCTGTATCCGCCCCTGGTTTGTTAAATAAAAAACTATTGTTTCTTTAGAAATTGTGTTTGAAAAAAGAAACATTATATTTTAAATCTTTTTTAAAATTCGCTTGTTCTGTAAAAACCGAAAGTTTTTTTCATGTTTGTTCGCAGAATTTAAATCGTTCGTATTTAAACGTTAGATCGTTTTCAAACATTAGATCAGTTTTAAACATTAGATCAGTTTTAAACATTAGATCAGTTTTAAACATTAGATTGTTTCTAAACATTAGATTGTACTTAAACAAAAGATCGAATTCAAAGATTAGATCGTTTTTAAACAAGTCCCTCCCCTACTACTTTCTAAAAAAAAGATTTTTTGTTTTCATTATTCTGAACAATCCATCGTTTCTTGTTTGTTCTAAACGACATATTCCTTTACGAAGAATTTTGTTCGTTCACAAAAACTATTCCCATTTCTAGTAGTACAACAATATATGTATATATATCCACCACAAGAATTTGTATAACAAGAAAACCAAAGGGTTCCAAGAAACCAGATTATATTAAGAATATTAAGAATAGATCAAATAGTTTGAGTATAAAATATCATAGGTTTTATACCATCAGGTTGCAAAAATAAGGGGATTAGAAAATTATATTTTGTTGCAAAGACTGAATTCCTTTGTTAAAATGTTCTCAATGTTCCCAAGATAATCTGGTTTCTTGGAACCATTTGGCTTTCTTGTCATATAAACTCTTTACATTTACATTTACATTTACATTTACATTTACATTTACATTTGGTTTTCTTGTCATATAAACTCTTTACTTTTACATTTACTTTCACTCGCCTAAAAAGTACATTTTTTATCTTTTCGTCTTTTAATCCTGGTGTTGTAGGTAGTTGATATTTTGAACTATAATTCTACCAGATCAAATAGTTACACCATTGGGTTGCAAAGATGTAGACATTGGTTTGTAAAAAATTTGAGCGGAGAAATTATGCTTTATAGAAAGAACCGTTTTTTTGTACCTTTCAAATACCCGTGATTTTTTCTTCTTCCCGCCTGGCAACTTTTCAAAACTTGTTAAAATCATGTCTCCTAAAAACAACAATAGCTCAGAATCTTGTCTTCTAAAGACAACAAAATCTCTAAATCATGTCTCCTAAAAAAAAAATAGCTTAGAATCATGTTTCCTTAAACAATAATAGCTCAGATTCATGTCTCCTAAAAACAACAAAAGTTCAGAATCATGTCTCCTAAAATCAACAATAGCTCAGAATCATGTCTTTTAAAGACAGCAATATCTCAGAATCATGTCTCCTAAAACCCACAATATCTCAGAATCATGACTCTTTTAATCAAAAATATCTCAGAATCATGTCTCCTAACAACAACAATAGGTCAAAATCATGTTAGCTCAGGAGTTTGAATTTTAAAGTATTACGTCTAAGACTAAATCACACAGAGATTCAAACAGTTTAGCAAAGTTGCAAGAAGTAATTGGTAAAATTCTTAACGATATTTTGTGCAGAAAGCTTAGATCACAGTGATAAATTATTATGAGCAGTGGTATCCCGGACGAACCAAGGATAGGTGCATTCGGTTTATTCTATTTTAATTCAATCGCATTTTGGTCGGTCTATAATTCAACAATCTTTAAACTTAGGAGTTGTTTTTTTAAAATATTTTTTTATAGTTTGAGGTATCTACCGACAACAAGTATAAAAGGGAAAAGGCGAAAAAAATAAGTTTATAAGGTCAAATTGCGATTGAAAGTTAAAACTTGACCAAACTGTTGAATCTTCGTGACTGTACCTGGTTTAAGGTTTGTCCCGAGGCGTATATTTAAAGTATCTTCTATCCTGGCTTGATACCTAGATGCTTCGTTCTTACTACTCACAGTTATATCACCTAAATTATTTATATTTCAGCTTAATCCAGTTTTTTGCAGGTTTAGTTTAAAGCTGTTATGGCAGGCCAGTATACTGTTTTCAATCTGTTCGTTGACAATTATGTGAACACACTTGATGGAAAATGTCGGATGATCTAGAAATAGTATTTAAGAAAAACTTTATGTTGAAAAATTAAAAGCTATGGTTTTCCGGTACGACCGCAGGCCCACCTCAAAAATACAACGAAATCTACAAAATTACGAAACCCATTATTTGTGAAATTGCAGATTTTCTACGGAAACCAGAAGTTTCTATTATTTTATAATTTTTAGAGACTTCTTCAGAAAAAAATTAAACCAAAAGTACAAGTAAATTGGTTACTTTTAAACCCTATTTCTAGCTACTTCTTTTCTGCTCAAAATACCAGGTGCCGGTAGGGGGAGGGGGGGGGTCCCAGCTCCCCCCCCCACCCTCTATTTCCATGATATTATCTTCAAAATTTTTCAACATTTTTGAAATCCCCTGGGACTTTATCTAAAAGTCTGCAAAATTCAACAAATTTTATAAAATTCCAAAGCTTGCTTTTAAATTATTACACTTTCTCTTATCTATTATTTATCTTATAAATTATAACAGAATAATTCTATTATAGAAAAACATTAGATTTGAAATTGAAAGATTATGAAAAATGTTGAATTTAAAGAAAAACTCGAAATTTCCAATAAATAGAATTATTGAAACAGAAATTCTCAAATAATAAAATATAGAAATCCTAAAATATTATTACCATCCTTGACTTTAAATTGAAAAGAGAAATAAAAAACTGAGACAAAAAAGGATAAGATTTTTTATTTCATAAAGGATCTTAGTAGCTAACGCCCCCCTCCCTTCCCTTCCTGGTGACATTTAAAAACGCCGCCGAATTTTATATTTTGAAACTGAACCATAATTATCAAAGGAATTGAGTTTTTGCCACAATCTCTGATTTTCTAATCCCAATATCTTTGCAACACAATGTCGTATACCCAAGATATTTCCAACTATGAATTCGGTTAAATCAAATAAACTAAGTTTGAAATATAAAAGGTTTACACCTTCTGGTTGTAAAGATATAGGGATTATAAAATCAGAGTTTGCGGTAAAAACTCATTTCCTTTTCATGAACGTTTTTAAGATCAGTTCCAAGGATTTCAAATGAAACAGTTTTCTGGTTCTCACTGAGCACTCGGGAAATAGTTGCTATTTATTTCCGAAATTGTATTCTTGAAGAACACATGTGATATGTATTCAATTAGATGTATTTAATTTTCTTTTTTCTTTTCCCACTGAAGAGTTGTTCACAAAGAGAAAAAGTGGGGTTTAGACCAATCTTAATTTCCTCTTTCAAAGCTGTTTTAGCCGGATAATTTTCATTTTTTTAAATTCAGGCCGGTAGCTTTTATTGATTTAAAAACTGAACTGAAAAACTTAAAGTTCGGTTGACAACGAAAAAAGTGAAGGATAGTTTTTAAAATATCGAAGTAGTAGTTTATTATTTAGTTGTTTCTTTATCTAACTGAGGTGAACCATCAAAGAGCAAGTTCAAAGACATAATGTATTATGTATCCCTTTTAATTCTGTATTACTTTTCAAATTCCTGAGTAGTCTCTTTTAAGTATTGGGATGGTCAGAGCATGAAAGTTGAGGCAATTGAATTAAGCACTAGTGCTTTGTTCTGAGTGTCATGTCATAGAAAAATAACATTACAGATAGAACACTATATGTCGTCTTTTCAAGAATTAGGGGTTTATCGTGAAAAATAACCCTGAGACAGAGGCCCAAAAGAGTTACATGCATGATGCCTGCTCTCTCCATGTCTTGTCATTCAACGCAGCATGCGCGTACGGCGTAACTCCTTTTGGCTTCTGCCTCAGGGTTATTGTGCACGAAAAACCCCTAAATCTTGAAAAGACGACATATAGTGTTCTATCTGTAATGTTATTAATCTATGCCAAAGTGAAGAAGAAAAATGATCGTATCGTCAATTCGTTTTGTTTGCAAAAGTTCCAAATATTAGTTTATTATTTTCAACGCTAAGTTTTTTTCTGAAAACAAAGATTTGTCATAAAAAAAACTATTGTTTTTCCCACGTACGTATCCCAATAAACAGGGTGGTTTATTAAGGGAATTGTTTGTGTTTGTAAAATGAATGTATGCAGATGCACCTTAAAAAATATAAATTACGTCAACAGTCTCTTTAAAATGCTAAATTACGTCAACAGTCTCTTTAAAATGATAAATTACGTCAACAGTCTCTTTAGTTTCTAAATTTGTAGGACACTCAGTAAAAATAAGACTGGAAAATAATAATAAAAGATTTTATAAGAAAATACAAAGAGCTCCTACTGCAGTCACACCCTGCTGAGCTGACACACCATTATAAATAATAAGATAATAATCAAACATCAATCTAAATAAATACTTTGCTGGTCTGTCTGAGTGTCTGTTTGTATCCAATAAACGTAAAAACGGCTTAACCGCTCGGGCCCAAATTTTTGTGGGACCTCACGTTACCCCAGGAAAGGTTTATGGATGATCGAATTTTTAAAAATTTGCTTATAACAAAATTCTAATATTAAAATTTTTGAAAATCCACGAAATTTTTTATAAAATCTGCAAATTTTTAGTTTGTTTTTATTTTACAATGCATACAAAAAGAACAAGTTTTGAAATAAAAGATGAGCACGGTGTGCCCTAAAAGCCTAGAAATATATATTTAAATATATTGTTATTTTGTTCTGGTTTCGCTTAGATACCATTTTTGGTAATAAAAAAGCGATTATTAAAATTGATATGTTTCACTATATATGCTCGACATTTTCCACATGATTCATCGTAACTGTTCTTGAAAATGTTTAAGGTTAAAAATCATTAGAAAAGTCGAATGGTGAATCCGATCGGGCCCAATTTTTTGTGCGGGGTCTCACGTGACCCCAGGGTAGGTTTATGGATGATCGAATTTTCAAAAATTTGCCTCTAACAAAATTTATTTTAGAAAATATTGAAAACCCACAAACTTCTTTTATGAAATCCGCGAAATTTGTTGTTTTTTTTGTTTTCCAATGCATTTAAAGAGAAAATGTTAACAATTGAAGTAGAAGATTGGTGAGAAGCGTCCTAAAAGCCTAGTAACATATAATACTGAATCTTGATTGGAAATATAATTGATAAATTGCGTGAACAATGATCATATTCATACAAGAACTAGTCTTTATTTAGTTGATGACGTAGGTTATGCCCCCCCCCCACCCAATAAAAAAAACTTTTTCATCAGTCACTCTGATTTAACACAGCGGTTACAATAAATCGGTTAAAGTAAACCCCATTCATTCTTCGATAATAAAAACAGGTAAAGGAGAACTTATTTAGAGAAATGGGTCTGTTTTCGCTGCACAGTTGCTCTGTCTTATGTTTATTAAACTACTTCAAGTCATAAATTGAGTCTTTAAACTTTGTCAATTCCTATTCAAGAGCTTTCTGTTTCTCACTGTTAATTCTTCTTTTTGCACAAACTATCCATCTTAGCTTTCTGCATTAGACATTTTTATTAGTAAACATACTCCAAACTGAAGTTCTAAAAAGTGTAATTATCTAAAATGCAGTGTATATTATTTTTGGGTAATAATGCAAGTTAATTTTATTAGTCATGATTTGTTCAATTTATCGTATAAGAGATACAATTTGATATTTAAATGATTATATGACTGAGGGGGGAGGTCATTATCTTATCCCCCCCCCCTTCTTTCTTTTGCCTGGACAAGTTTTAATTAAATGAAACCTGAGTTTAAATCCAATCCGTCTCCACACGTTTCTTCTCTTCTCCTTCAGTAAATTTTCCTAAAAGTTTTGTTTCAAGAATTCAGAATTCACAAAAATAGATAACTTGTAAATTTCATGGACCATAGGTGTAATTTCATGGACCGTAGATGTAATTTCATGGACCGTAGGTGTAATTTCAAGTAACCTTTTAATTAAAGAAGAATCAAAAAGTGGCAGTAAATAAAAATTTAACTTAGAATGTTTAAAAACGATGTCAACGTAAAGCATACTTTCTACTTTTGAGTTATGCAAGTTTGAGTTCGGATTGAAATTGAAATTCAAACGGGTTTCGATATGTTGAAACAGAAAGATCATTCTACTCGATAATAAACAGTAAGAGGTTTCAAGAGTACTGGTACAAATCATGCATTGCCCTCTTTGAATGGAGGGTCACTTGAAAATATGCTTTAATGCACAAATAAATCAGGAAGGCTTTTTTATTAATCAATAAAGTTGAAAAAACATGGCGAATTTATTCCGCGTAAACGATTTTCTCCTTACAGATGCAACAGATAGAAGTAAGATTAGTAGCGATTAAAAGCGATTATTTTTCGCCGTAAGCCTATACCCCCTTTCATTTTTTGCGGACAGTCTCTTCAATATGCAAATAAAAAGTTTTAAAAAGATAGGTAATCACCCTTAACTTAAAGAACCTCCCCCGCATTCCTTTTTTTTAATTTTAACCGAAAAAGGCTAATAAATCACAATAAAAAAACCAACCAACAAAAAGCAACAAGTAAAAAATATTAAGCCCTTTAAGAAAGAGTTCATTGGTCAATTATGAAACCAGCCTATTTTATAATTTGGTTTTCTTTTAATATTAATTTTAGATTTTCTATAAAATGATGTTCCAGGGCCCAAATGGTTATATAGCACAAATATGTGAAGTACACCTGAGTATAGAAGTAGAACAGTACAACAAAATGGCCGTTTTACACTTTTTTCTATATTAATTCCACTCTAATATATATTCTATTCTCTTTGCCTATCACAAGGTAAGCTTAAGAGGATATCATGATTAACTATGCAGGATTTCGTATCAATACATGTAGTTATAAAGAATAATAAATATATAGACGTTATTAAAAACAATATTCATAGAATTTCACAGAGGAACCAACGTTTTTTAGAGTCTTTTCAGCTAATACATTTAAAGCATAAAACGTCTAGGTCGACTCTACTCTGGGTGGTCCAACTGGATATGTACGACTGGGTGCATGTATACTGAGTACATGTTGTACCGGCTTGGATGTTGCAACTTTAAGAGTTGTGTGTCTGAGTTTAATATGTTTGATCCCCGTCATCCATTAGAATCCCTGTAGGGTTTCATCATCATATTTAACTGAAAGTGGAATAAAACGGGGAAAATAAAACCTAGTTGGAAAATTTGTTTTTCATGATTTTTGAAAATATCTGAAAGCAACTTCGAGGATAATAAGGGTGGACCCATTTGGCACTTTTTTGATCCTTTCAGCCTATTATAAAGTCATAAAAATCTACTAAAAATTGAACCAATTTTAGACAAAAACGGATTATTTAGTTGAAATTTGTCAGTTCTTCAAAAAAAAATTTCTCTCAAACAGCGGTGAACAGGATATCTTTTTATTTGGACATGCCCAACTATAATTTTAGGATCACTTGAGATTAGAATACATTTAAATTTTTTTCAATAATTAAAAAAAATTTAAATAAAAATAATTTTTTTATTTTTCTGTCACCTGTTTCTCCTTCTTACTCCTGTGTTTTTTCTTAAACCTGGTAAGTACTCTGACCGCTGTCATGGTTCGGCTCCATCTGTCTGGACCTGATAAATTAAAATTGTGGAAAAAAACTCACCAATACCAAAAAAAAAGCAGAAAACTGTGGAAAGACCGTCACCTTTTAGCTGTACTTTGTACCTCGGCTCTAGAAATATTGATCGGAGCTGGGAACTTTTAATCGCTAAATCTCGATATCCGCAAAGGACACATTTGATTTTGACACACAATCTGTTTGATCTCTTCCCTGGATTCGAATTCGCTGTTTGTTTACAACAAAATTAATTTTTCACGGGATATCGAATATAGATTAAATTGATCTGTAGATTAACAAAGGATCAAGATCAATGCTTGATCTTAATATCCACGGTTTAAGATAAGATCACTTTTTTAGAAGAGAGGTGTATAGTTGCAAATCAGAAAATCTATTAGCAAAAAGTGACATTAGTGACATAAGTAACAAAGAATTAAAAAGACAACAAACATCCCACAGTTTTCCAACTACATCATAATCTGGAATTTTACCTGGAACTTCCTCAACTTCTGTTCCACCACATTCACAACCAGAATCACAGTCTTCTTCTTGGTCATCCTCACTACGCAGCCTGGATATAGCCGCAATATTTAGAATCTATTTAGAGGGTACGGACAGTTTACAAGACGATTATTCAGGAACAATTCCATAGTCCCATAACTTTTTCAATTTGTGTTTACCTAGCCCTTGGTTTACCTAGCCCTTGGTTTACCTAGCCCTTGGTTTTATTTTAATTTGTTTGAATGGATTGTTTGTTACTTTTTTCAGTTGTTCGGAAAAGTCAAATTTGTTCGTTTTCTGAATTTTTGTTAATTTTTCATCTTATGCCGTTCTTTTTCTAACGTTCAATCAAAGTGTTCATCCAGAAAAAAGTTCAATTTAATAAAATGTTAGCTTAGTAAAATTGTTTGTTTTGTAAAAAACCGAAAGTTTTTCCAAAGGAAACAATTTAGATCGTTTGTTTTGTGTTTTTCTTTTGTTTAAAAAAAAAGATTAATTTTTTATTTTCTCTAAAGAATCTAAATTGTTTGTTAATCTTTTAAAAAGATATGAAATAAAAAATATATTCACATATTTTAGATAATAAATACCTTGTATGATGATGTTTTCTGTGCTTCTCTCTCTTGGATGGACGTCGATGGCCGCTAGATTTCTTATTTTGATCAGCTGATTTTATCGACTGGTTGGCAGATGTCATGGTATCAGCTGATTCGATCATTTTAACACTATCTTGGGCCAGCTGAGTTATGTGCGCTGAATCAATCGGAGACGGAGATCTATTGATAAAAGCATTATTATAATTACTGATTGTTATCATTATCACTTTTATTATGCAAGATGATTTTTTGCTTTTCTTTGATCGTTGTTAAGTACCATGGTGTAGTTTATGTCAAGTACGATGGGGCAATTTATGTCAAGCATCATGGTGCAGTTTATGTAAAGTAAATGGTGCAGTTTATGCAAGTATATGGTGCAGTTTATATCCGGTGCATGGTGCAGTTTATGTCAAGTGAATGGTGCATTTTATGTCAAGTGCATGGTGCAGTTTATGTACGGTGCATGTTGCAATTTATGTACAGTTTATGGTGAAGTTTATGTCAATTGCATGTTGCAGTTTATGTCCAGTGCATGGTGCAGTTTATGTCTGGTGCACGGTGCAGTTTATGTCCGGTGCATGGTGCAGTTTATGTCCGGTGCATGGTGCAGTTTATGTCCGGTGCATGGTGCAGTTTATGTCCAGTACATGGTGCATTTTACGTCTGGTGTATGATGCAGTTTATGTATGTCAAGTGCATGGTGTACTTTATGTCAAGTGCATGGTGCACTTTATGTCCGGTGCATGTTGCACTTTATGTGAAGTGCATGGTTCATTTTATGTTCGGTGCATGGTGCAGTGTCAAGTGCATGGTGCAGTTTATGTCCGGAGCATGGTGCAGTTTATGTCAAATGCATGTTGCAGTTTATGTCAAATGCATGTTGCAGTTTATTTCTGGTGCATGGTATAGTGTATGTCCGGTGCATGGTGCAGTTTATGTCCGGTGCATGGTATAGTGTATGTCCGGTGCATGGTGCAGTTTATGTCCGGTGCATGGTGTAGTGTATGTCCGGTGCATGGTGCAGTTTATGTCCGGTGAGAAAACAACTTTTTAATGTTAAAAAAATGCGCAAATAAAGTCAACATTTGTGTACTGAGTTTATGAAGAGAAATCACTTAACGATAAAAGAAACATTAGATAGTTTAAATTAATACAATTGAAATTAATTACTTTAGAACTTCACTATGTACGTTTAAAAAAAGAATATTTATATTACGGAGGTGCATAAACCACATGTGGCAGTAATTTCATTAGTTAAAGTGACAAATTGAGATAAGTAACTTTTTGTAATGATATTGATTAGACTTTATTGGATAGTAAAAACCTGCGCAATAAAATAATAAAATGGATGAGAAAGAGAAAATATACGTTGGAGAAAGAAAGAAATTTTTCTTTGTAAACATGTTTATCCAGTTACAAGCTAGCTCGAAAACTTTGAACTTGATAATTTTAACATTGAACTTTGAAAGTTGCGAATTTTAGTCGTTCTCAAATTTTCGTGAATTTTGCTGTTTAAATTGGTGCATTTTTTAAGATAATAAACTTCAACATTTTTTCAGGAACAGCTTTTTAAATTTCTTAGTTTTTAATTCGGATAATTAAAATTTGGATAAAAAAAGATATGAGAGGAACTAAATGCTTGCTACAAACTTCAAATTTCTAACCTTCAAGGCAACCTTGCGATATGATCTAAAACCTTTGATACTTTTAAACCTTCAGAATGTGGTCTAGCAGAATTCAAAGTTCAACAACGTTAGGGTAAGATGTAAGTTTGTAGCGAGTAAACAGTTCCTTTGTCAGGGTATTTAATTTAGCTTTTTCCTGGCTGGACTCATACATATGAGTGCCATCACAGATAAGACCTCTCCTCAATTATCTGATAATTATCACTGTTTTTTTCTAGTCGCCTTGATCACTCTTCACATATGTTTCTAGTGAAACCGCAAATACAAAATGGCGTCCTGTCACGTGACTTAAAATGGCGTCTTTCCACGTGACTTTAAATGGTTGGAGTTTATCACGGTATTTGTGAAGATTTGTTCACTTCATCATATTTAATTTCTGAAATTAAAATTATATTGAAAAATATTTGAATTTATAAAACCCATATAACCTTATTAGGGCTAAATATTTTAGCTTTTTTAATCTAAGGGTTTCTGCCGGATTAAATGCATGGGAAAGTACAGAAAAGTGTCAAGGGATGTCAAGCTGTTGTGTTCGTCTGAAAACAATGCAAAAATAAACAAAAGCTTTTATTAATTTTACAAAAAAAAATTCTCGTTTAGACATTTTTTATTAGCAGTACAAGCATAAAATTATAAATGCTGGCATACAAATATAACTGCAAAGTCTATACTACAAAGTGACTTTAGACTTAATTTCAAGTGACCCTCCATTTTATTAATGTCGGAGTAAATGGGTAATAAAAGATGCTTTTTAAACATTACATATAGTCCTTATATTCTAAATAAACTGGAATAATTATAATTGACAAAGACTTTAAAGTCGTCTTTGAACTTAGAAATAGTTTGAAGCATGATTGAAGGCAATATAATTAAAATCAAATTTGATATGAATAATAATCACTAAAAAGAATGGCAGACCACATTTTGGAAATGTTGTGGTTTTTAATGAATTAAAATTATTTCGGTTTATTTAGAATAGGAAGTTGTAAATGGATAAATGACAATGGCTTTCTCTAACAGCTAAAACTTTAAAGGATTTAGTATTGTATCAGGCATAGCTCTAAATAACGAGTCACTTGAAAGGAATTTCTCAATTTCTTAATTTAATACTTACTGTTAACGTAGCTTTACTGATGGTTTAATTTTTGTGTTTTATTAATGTTATAAAAGTGTATTTGTTTAATGTGTTAGGAAAAGGGGTTTCTTGCGAGAGCAAACATTGTAAAGTATTTCTAGTGAGAGAATATATAGATAAATATAGAAATCAATAATATTTGTGTTTTTTTCTCTCTTTTTTTAACGAGTAAAACTATTTTGAGACAATTTTTAGAAGTTTTCTTAAAATAAAGCCCTGTAAGAAAATTCTGAAATTTTTTATCTAGAATATTTTATCCTTCTTTCAACTACAACCTGTACCCGTGGAATTTTAGAAGCACTTTAAAAATTATCGAACTTGAAATAAAAAATTTAATTGTAAAAAAAAAATTTATTTTGTTTGACTTATGTTACTCCCGGGGTACTCGGGGTTTCCTAAAAGAATTCAGCCATTAGGTAAACCCGTTTTGCCAGCTATATCCATGCTATAGCTAAGCTAACATTAATAAAAATATACAAATATACAAGTATATAAATACAAATTTATTTATGAGCGAAGAGCTTTTTTATATAGATTTTTAGGGGGTTGAAAAAGAGCTTATTTATAGTACTGCTATAAATAAACGTATAGCATAAACCCGTCAGTCGCGGGTGCGATTGAAACTAAAAACAAATACAAATATAAAGCATACTCTCAATGGCTGCAAGTTTTTAAAAGAAAAAAAAAGAAAAAAAATTCCGCGGAATTTTACAGGTAAGGTTTTATTTTATGGCTAAAACCAGCTCCACAAAAGAGTTTAGTTTTGCTTTTAGGATTTTCATAAATTTTTTTCTTTATCTCAAACTTTTTATTAGCGAAATGTGCAATTATTTGTGCCGAATTTATTTCCATCCAACCAATAGCAAATTTGTGGGAAATTTTGTTTTACAATATCATACACACAGGCTGTGCTAGCAGCATTAAAGAATGCAGTCCTAACTGCATTCTTTATAAAAAGAAATTATGTAGATATAAACGTAGAAAATACAATTGGATGAAGTGAAATTTAACTTTTCTGACAAATTTGCCAAAAACATTTGTATAGATCTATCTATCAATATAATCTAAACTTCTAGAGGAACATTTCTCAACCATTTAGAGTATATAGATCCAGATGGAATCTATTAAAAATTTAATATTTAAAAGCCTTAAAGGGACTGTCAAGTGATTTCATGTGATATTTCATGTGACACTTCATCGATAATTGGCAACAATGTCCTTTACACTAAAGTAATATATCAATGGTAAAAATATGTTTTTCTGAGAAAAAACTGATAGTATACACAAGGACCTATTTAACTGTTTGATGTACGCCTCTGACATGTACAGGTCCTGGTATGATACAGACCTATCTAAATGACCGACGATTGTTTGATCATTCAAACACTCCAATTGAAGAATTAGAGAAGAAAAAAAACTGTTTCGGAAAAGGAACATCTTGATTTATGCAAGAAAATTACAAATGGCACAAATTTAGAAATTACTTTTCTTATCTGTGTCATCTTAATATATTAAAAATATTAATTAATTAATATTATTAAACGAACAATAAAAAGTAAATAAAATGTTCTTCTTGTTTCTCTCCCCTCAGAGACAGGGGTGTTTATTTTCATAAAAAAAACATTTTTTTCCCTCTCCCTTTTTTTAGAGCTTTATTCACTAAATTGGGGACAGTAAATGATTTTTAGAGGGAAAAAATGAGTTTTTAAGGTTAAAGGTATCAAAAAAGTATCATACTTTATAAAAAAAAGGTGTCTTTTGATGTTAAATTTTTATGTTTCCCCCCGGTGGGGGTTATTCTGGAAAATCTACACCCCTGAGCAGAGATTAATGAGACAAGCATCTAACAAGAAAGGAATCCACTAAATAAAAAAGAATCTGCTGCAGGCAAGAAATTAAACGAGGAAACAAAACAAAAGAAAATAAAAAGAAGATCCTTGTTCGTCACCAAGGTCATGTTTGGATAAAAGAAACGATCAAATTGTCAGAAAAAAAGATTTATTAAAGGGACTGTAGACGTAATTTCAAGAGTGGCCCTCCATTTAAAGGGTTGAATCTGCAATTCACAACAGTACCCTTTCTATACTTATATTTCTGGATGAAAATGGAGTGTGCCGGGTAAAATCCTTCTCAATTGTCAGCTAAAAAACAACAAAAAACAGTCACCTAAAATAGCGTCCCTTTAAATAAAGATTTAAGCAGGGTTTCCAGCGAACGCAAAGTTTCGCAAAAAATGTGAAAATTTTCGGTGACATTTTGCAAACTTTTTTGCAAAATTTTGCATTATTTCGAGAAAATAAATGAAGTAACTTTTTCGCTAAATTTTTGCATTTGTTTTTAAAAATTCTGTATTTTTGGGGAAATTTTCGTTTTTTTATAATTTTCATTTTTTTCGTGAAATTTTCACATTATTTTTTCGCGAAATTTTCGCCTTATTCATTTCGCGAAATTTTCGCCTTATTTTTTTCGCGAAATTTTCACCTTGTTTTTTCGCGAAATTTTCGCATTTTTTCGCAAAATCTTCCCATTTTTTAACCAAAATTTTCGCGTTTTCTATTTTGCGAAAATTAAGCCTTTTTTTGCGAAACAGAATGAAGAAAATTTCGCGGAAAAAGCAAAATATTAGTGAAAAATGCGAAATTTTTGCAAAAACATTTTTCCTTTTCCCTGGAAACTAGATTTAATTGTTTTCTTTAGGGACCATTTTATTGCAACAAAAATTATTATGTAGATATTGATAAAGTTGGTTTGTTAGCTTTGAAAAGTTATTTTTGGTGGCATAAATACCATATTGTTATGAAAATCTACAAATTAAAATTATTCTCGAGTTCCATCAAAAAGAAATGATTTACGTGTCGAGAATTTCATTATTATTAAAATATAACCACAGGCCTGGTGTCTCAGAAAAGTCTGCATCATTTTTTTATCCAGTTTAGAAAAAATGCAAATATATCTTTGCAATCCAATGTTTTGGACCTTAGGTATTTCAAACTATGAAAACTATTGAATCAAGTGATCTTAGTTTGAAAATTCAAAAGTTTACATCATCAGGTTGCCAAAAAAATAGGGATTCGAAAATTTGAGTTTGTGTAAAATTTTGTTCGGAATTGTGCTATTTCGCATGAAAATTTGCTTTTGGTTGATTCATCATTTTGGATATTCTAGCGCTTGGAAAATATGCGAAGACTCAAATTAAATGTAAATTATCAAATTAAATTTTTTGGTTTTCTTCTCCTGTAGAAATTTTTGCGAATAATTATAGGAGGTAAAGAAAGAAGGTAAAGTTTCCTGAGATAGCAAAAAGATGCGTAACCCCTTCAGTCCTCATACGGACCCGGAGATAAGATGTAACCAGTGTGAGCTCTAGAGCTCGGAACAGGGATAATCCCATTGATGTAACTCAGAGTGGATAGTTCTATTGATGTAACCTCTTTAGTCCTCATAAGGACCCGGAGCTAAGCTCGGATTGCAAGTAGTAATAATAAAAAAATTTAAGTAAAAGCTTAGTTTTACAAAGTCATGAAGTACAATATTTATAATACAACATGGTTATTGGATATTACAGAGTATCATGAAAACCAAGCATAATGATATATTTTTTATGTGTTGCATTTTCGTTAACTCATGTGGACACCTTGTACAAGTGTATGAATTAAAACAAGAAAATCTTGGCGCAAAAATTTTCATAAAATAACTAATGTAAAAGGCAACTGATAAAACTTCATTTCCAGAGCCATAAAAAATAGTTTTGGTTGGGTGAATTTGGTCCAAAAGATCAATAGATCCTTGAAAAATTGGATCAATATTCAAGACGGTTAACTTTGAAGTTTTGCATCGCCTTGACATTGAAATTGGCCTTTTTAAATGCCTAGACATTTGTTACTTTTAAACATTTGAAGTGATGGTTTAGAGTTTTAATTTTTTAAGGGTTGTAAGCAAATTCTCATCAATTATTGCTTACGAGCTTGCAAACTAATTGGATCACTGTGAGTTGATCGCTGTATAATTAGGGTTAATCGTTTTGAAATACGATAGAAAAAAATGAACGTTTTTCTTTCTTTTTTTTAGAAAACAATTGTTTTTGAAAACGAACCATTCGTCTTGAATTTTTAAAAAACGCAAAACGATCTCTTTTTAACAATCATTGTCTGAAAAAAGTTTTGCTTTTCTTTTTAGAAAAAAAACTATTGTTTTTGAACTTGAATCATTTGTTTTGAACTTTTTAAAAACAAAAAAG